TACCAAATGTCTTCTTTGATATAATGAGAGCAACTAAGAACAGAGCAGGGGGGAAGAGCAGGAAGAAAAGATTAACATTAAACAGATACATGAGGTGGGAGGGAAAGGGAGAGAAAGGGAAATTGCATGGTAATGGAGGGAGACCCTCATTGTTATACAAAATTACATATAAGAGGTTGTGAGGGGAATGGGAAAATAAACAAGGAGAGAAATGAATTACAGTGGATGGGGTAGTGAGAGAAGATGGGAGGGGAGGGAGGGGGGATAGTAGAGGATAGGAAAGGTAGCAGAATACAACAGTTACTAATAGGGCATTATGTAAAAATGTGGATGTGTAACCGATGTGATTCTGCAATCTGTATTTGGGGTAAAATTGGGAGTTCATAACCAACTGGAATCTAATGTATGAAATATGATATGTCAAGAGCTTTATAATGTTTTGAACAACCAATAAAAAAAATTAAAGAAAAATAAAATAAAATAAAAAAAAAATAAAAGAAATTATTTACCGGTCAGCAAGAGGGCAGAATAGGAGTCCCAGACTCTCCTTCACCCAAGGACACAGATTAAAAAGAGCATGGATCAGTTCCCTTTGTCAGAAACCTAGAAAATAGTTAAGGGGCTTCTGCATGTCAGGCAAGCATGAAATCAGCTGCACTGAATCCGGAAGGAAAATTCATTCCTTCAGTAGGGTCACTTGCCCCAGCATAGCATGGTCCAGTTAGGAGAAAACTCTCAGCTCCAGTTTCTCACTAGGGAGGAAAAGAGAAGATTGAAACATGACCTGCATGTAGAATCTTTGGTGAGCTCCCCAAGGGATCAAAATCTATTTTGTCTGAATCTAAGCATTGACAGGAAACGGTGCCATACTGGGGATCATCAAGAACAAAAGTGACAGTTTGGACTAGTACACAGTCATTCACCACAGTTCCAGTCTGGATGACTCAGTATGGGTGAGTGGGAAAAAAAAAATCTCAATTCTCAGCTTCTTCCTGGGGAGGGAAAGAATGGGATCCAATGTTTTATATTTTGGGGAGACTGCTCATGGTACTAGTTTCTGTCCTATCTGTCTCAGAGAATCAGTGGGCCGAGTATACTATAGATACTTGGGAGATGTTGATAACAAAAGAGCACTGGAAAACTTGACCCTGCTTTAGAAGACCCAGGGTACAGCAGAGAGAGGGCAATGTAGATTGGCAGCCTGTCTCTCAGGGGAATGGGAGAGAAAAGAAGAGTGGAGCATGCATCCAATGTTCTGGCTTAGCAGAGGGATGCCTGAGGGGCTGATTTCTGTGTTGGCCAATTTGGAGAGCTGATGGAACCTAGCATACTTTAGAAACCTGAAGGTTGCTGAGAAGGAGTTGGCTAACTTGTGTTCTAGAGAACCTGCAGCACCACTGTCAGACACTCAAGGGAGAAAGAGGTTATGAGCTCTTGAAAAAAGAAACTGGTAAATCACTCCAATTGGGAGTTTGCATGTACAAGATCAGAGAAGACACAGCTATAGAAAAAGTCTGAGAGACTCTCAGTCTCTATCCTTGCTGTCTTGTAAACATCTTTCCCTGTATCAAGTCAGTCCAAAAAGACTGGGAGAGGTAGCTGTTTCTTTTCTTTTTTCCAAATGTATGAATCCTACGGAAGTTACAAAGTACAGGAATAAACAGGAAACCTAATCCCCACCAACGGAACAAAGTAAATCTCCAGAAACCAATCCTAAATAAACAGAGGTATTTAAACTACCTGACAAAGAATTCAAACTAACAATCTTAAAAGTGTTCAATGAGTTCAGGAAAACAGTGCAGAAATGAGATTATCATCAGAGAGAAAGAACATACAAAAATGAACCAATCAAAAACTTACAAAAATACCTAAAATTTTAAAATTCACTGAAGTTCAAGAGCAGATTTAATCAAACAGGAGACAGAGAATCAGTTAACCAGAAGCCAGATCATTTGAAATTATCCAGTTAGAGAAATAAGAAGAAAATTTAAAAAGACTGAAGAAAGTCTAAGGAACTTAAAGGACAGCATTAGGTGAGTCAATATATACCATATGGAAGAAGAAACAGAAGAAGGAGAAGGAGGGAGGAGGGGGAGGGGGAAGTGGAGAAAGGGGAGAGAGGGAGGGATGAGGGGGGAAGGGGAAAAGAGGAGCTGGGGAGAAGAAACAGGGAAAGGTTATTTGAAAAAATAATACCTGAAAACTGAAAATTTGGAAAGGAAATGGGCACTTAGATTCAAGAAGCCCAAAGGAATCCCAGTGGAATAGTCCTAAAGAAGTCCACTCTGAGTCACGTTGTGATGAGACTGTTGAAAGTCAATGAGAATTTTGGAAGATTTAAGAGAAAAGTGACTTGTCACAAAAATTGAAACTCCCATGAGACTCACAGCATATTTCTCCACACAAACTTCTCAAAACCTTTCACGTTAGAAGGATGATATACTCAAAGTGCTGAAAAAAATCTGCCAACCAAGAATGCTGTATCTGGGCAAAATTGTCCTTCAAAGATGAAAAGGGCAGAAAGTCTTTCCCAAATAAACAAAAACTGAGGGAGTTCATCACTAGACCTGCTTTACTACATATGCTAAAGGGTGTCCTTCAAGTTGAAATAAAAGGCCTCTAGAAAGCATCATTAAAATATATGAAATTATAAAATAGTTATGTAGAGAAATACAGAATACTGTAAGGAGTTAAAGGTACCTTTTTTTTTTTTTTGATAGTCTGTGTCAAAGTCAATGACTCTTAGAATTAAATGGCTTTGCCTCACAATTTTATCAGTGCTTATGTCTTTATTCTACACACCTCCACATTCTACAGTGAATAGGTATAATTCACAACTGGAAGCCATCTCTAGGTGTCTTTTCTCGGACAAGGACCTGTCAAGATTTGGAAAGAAAAGGGCATTTATCAAGGAGGCTGGTTACAAGAGGGTGCTGAGGATGAAACTGATGCTCCTTGGCTTAGAAGAGACTATGTCTAAATAAACCCATTGTCAGCTGGAAAAATTGTCAGTAAAAATGCACTTAGTACATCTCACCTACTGCACATCATAGCTTAGCAACACAGTACACTTGAGAGTACTAGTTATACATTCTAATGAATACGTGGCTGACTTGGAGCTACAAGTGTGGCTTCTACTGAATGCTTGTTCCTTGGCATCATTGTAAAGTAAAAAAAATGTAAGTAGAACCATTGTTAAGTTAGGGAATGTCTGTCTGTACCAGAACCCTGGGACTGGGGTCTGGTTGAGAGAATTCCATCATGCTCGACCTCCACAGAATGACTGAACTGAACTTTGTGGTTAATACAAGTTAGGAGGTAGCATTCAGAGTCTTATCCACTCAGACTCTGGAGCACTTGAGTTGGACTGAACACTAGAAGACCAAGAGCTGTAAAAGCTGTGGTGCCTCCTATCGTAATAGTAGTGAAGAGCAAGTGAGGCTTTAGAAAGCCTGCATGCATTCATTATTTACCTCCTCAAATTATCCAAATTATTTTCTATTTTACTCAAAAAATTCTGTTCTCATGTACTGGGTCTCTGTGTGTGCAGGTGCATTATCTGGGACATTCTGATCAGTATTTTATTTAGTCAGCCTCAAGGACAAGTGACTGATGTCAAACAGACTATAAGTCATATTTGAAGTATTCAACAATAAATATATATGTATTGAGCATTTTAATTCTATTTATTAATTATGTGATTCATCAATGTCTATGTTAGCACAGCACATGTTATTTATAAGAAAATATGGAGCTTTTAATATCAAAATGATAACTATACAGAGTTAACATAGATGTAATTATAATAAATATTTTATGTTGAATTTTTTCAAAAAACTCTGAGTGTTTCATATATCTTGGACCACTTGAATATTCCAGGTCTTGAGTATAAATATTTAGCTCTCTTGGCATGACTTTTTAAAACATGAAATAACTTTGTTTCTACCTAAACAACTCACTTGAACAGTTTTAACTTTGCTGCAGTAGCAAGTCAAGAGTAGTAGAGTGTAATACAAGAACAAAAAAGGGTAAGGAATCAAAATGACTGGAGTCAAGTCTCTGTCATTATTACTATAAAATTTTGTACAAGTCTATATTCAGTTTCCTCAGCCATAGAAAAGAGATAATCACTTTTACTTTGCAGTGTTATTGTAAATATCAAATGAGATAATGCATAGTTTGGCCATAGTTTGGAAAATATAATGTGCTTAGACAAATGTTAGATGTTTGTGCGTGCTTCCTTTGGATGACTATATACACACAACAAGAAACTATACAAAAGAAGTGGAAATGAAATGAAATTTCCAATTTGCTAGGGCCGTGCATATTGCAAATTTTAATGTGTACCAAAATTAGCACTTTAGAGCTCTAATTATACAGATTAACTCTCTACATTGACAAATGAACCAAGAATTCTTTATCTTAACTCTGTTGCCAGAAAGTCATACTAAGAAGCATATAACCAACCACATCATTAAAATGAAAAGAATTCAGCAGATTGCTTGGTCTCTGGAGAGACAGACATCCTCTGTTCTTCCAATTTAGCTTGATTTGATGTTTCTAAGAAAAAATACCCAGCTAGTGCAAATCTAGAAGGCTGAGAGTGGGCTTGTAAACAAGACTACAAGAGTACTATCACATCCTATGAAAACAATAATACAAGTTTTGTATTATAAGTTTTGTAAGTTGTTGTATCTTGTTACTTTCTCATTCTTTAAATTGTCTTTTTTTTTTTAAATCAAGCACAATATATTAAATTCAAAGTGTGACAGAAAAATCAGTTTATTTTTAAGTTTAACAAAACATTTTAGTAATAGGCAAAGTCAAATATTTAATTATAACTAAAGAATGAGATAAAATTTCTGGTGCTTTGCTGAGAGTTTTTACAAATAATCTGTTCCACTGAGAAATATGATTAATGCTTAATAACATAAAGTGAATAGTTATTTGAAATGCTAAGGGCACAATTAGCATTTGAAACTAGATATTTGCAGACCTACCTGAGAGGTATCCGGAACCTCTGTGTCTTTTTTCCATAATGGAGGTTTTCCATATACAGCCATTTCAATCATACAGGCAAACCCAGGACTGTCACCCGGCATCGTGAAGCTAGAAGTAAAACAGAAGAGGCCATTATTGTATGCGTTATCGGCAAGAATAGAGTGACTTCACACATGGATGGTAAGTACTACTTCAATGAGAGAGGTACTTTATGGATCACAATAATCCTGAAATATGGCTTCAGCCAACTGTGAACATTTTCGGATAGATAAAAGATATATTTCTTTTTCTAACACTGCATTTCATTTTCCTTCTCTCCTCCTGACTTTCAATCAGGTCTTGAAATGCATTCAGAAAGTTAAATCCCCTACAAAACAAAAAGAGCTTTATGTGTATAAGTAGGTATTGATAAATTTTAAGTGCTAACTGTGGTTGACATATGGTCTTACTTACATAGGAGATTGTTGGACAAGTAACATCAATGTTAAATGATGCTAAACTCCCTAGGTAGAAAATTCTCCTCCTTGGCCTACAGGGGAAATAGAAATGGAATAAGAAATGAAAGGCTGCATACCCCTGAGCAGTGAGATTACACTGTGATACAGTTATCAGAACTCAGAAAGCATGCTGCTAATGTACCAGCTGGTACTGTTTCAGAGATAAAGAAAAGTGTAAGGTTAAGGGAATTTGAAGAATGAATAGCAGAAATGGTCAACACACAATTGAAAATTTATCAGGAGTTTCTAAATTGATGCAATCAGATGAATAGGCACATATAACAAAGTACTTGGCGTTCTTTTAAAACACTTCATTTAGAATTTTAAAAGACAATTCCAATGATATTACCTAGACACTTGCCATATGTAGCAGTATTAACTGGCACTGTTATGAAGTTTATTCTGTAGAGATAATAGGAATATATTTACTGATATTATTGATAGCTATTTCTGCATACTGAGAATGTGAATAATATTAATTCTAATTTTGGTTTATTTGTATTTTTTAAATTTTGGACAGTGATCATAGATTAAATTTTACTTTGAATTTTGAACAGTCTTTCCAGTTTGCCTTGATCCTTTCAGTGCAAAAACTAGGAACATTCCTGGTAAACCTGAGTCATTGTTCATTCTACTTTTAAAACACACAAAGTCAATTTTATTAAATGATTATTGGTTAAATTATTTTATTATTATTTAAATAACTATAGGCTTAGATGAATGGAGAAAAACAAGCCAGAGCCCTTCCCTTCCCTATCTTCCTACAAAATGCTAAGCCACCCTCTTGGGTGGCTCCTTCTGTCCTCTTACCTAAAAATACAAATCTTATAGCGTTGCTTCAATAAATCATTCCACTACTTTTTTGGCTTCCACTCAAGTTTACCAAAGTCATTTCTAATTCTGATCTGATCACTTCGGAATATTCTTAAATTCTAAGAGTTCCCAGTTTGTGTGAACTGTACTGTAGGGATCTATGAAGCCACTTGCCATTGTCGTTGATTATGGTCAGGCTGACATGCATGGATGCTTCCTACTGGAGATGGAAGGAATAGATTTGGGGAATGCACGTCTTTACTAACAATATGATTTCTCTTGCTTTCATTTAGAGTTTGTTGGAATCTGAACCTGAGTTGCAGTTCTGCAAAGGAAGTCACTTTATCTCCTTTCTGTTATTCCTCCTTTTCTCCCTCTGACCCTTCAACAAATAGCTGATTCTATTGTCTGCTTAGTTTATATACTATTTTGGAAATTGCTACTTTAAATCCACAAGAGTTTTCCCCATGGGGAGATTCTTATCACATTCATTTTTATACTATGTTGTATTTGTTTATAGACTAAATTGTGTTGTAATAAACAAAAAATACTCTATAAACAAATTAGATATTTTGCCATATAAATCATTTGATGAAAAATCTAAGTGCATATCCCTTATGCCTTTCAAGTATTGCTGAGGTCTGCACAGTCTAATGATTTAAAGACTCAAGGATCATATTTTGAGATAATCCATTGACTGCCTGAGTGATCTTAGGCAAACCACTTAACCTTTCTTCCCTGAAGTGTGATTATCCACATAAGGGAGATAATCATTCTTAGCTCATAAATGGTTAGTGAGAATCACATTATTTAATGTACATAAATCATTCAGTGCTAATATTAAAATCTGAGTTAAAGCAATTATTTGCTGACTAGACAGGGATCTCTAAAGAGATTTTTATGAAAATAAATTACACAGTCAAGTTGAAGTGTTCATCTACTTCTACTAATATTGCTTGTAATGGAGTTCAAAATCAAATACTCAATTTGAATTATTTTAAAAAGTAAAACTTGATAAATGGAACATTTTTTTTCTGGTGTTCTTAACAGTTTTGTTCTTTAGATCTATAATGGTCTATAATGATGTTAACCAATATGGCTGAAACATTTGATTTGTAAAGGACATTTTATTTGTAAACTTTTAGAAGGACCTGAACAATCTGTAAATTCTGTGTATCGAGAACCAAGGAAAGGGTTGTAAAAATGTAAATAAACGAAAAGTGGATGTGATAGGTTTATGAGTTAAGTCAAATACTTTATATAATTTAATGTTATTCAGTTCCTATGCTAGAGTTATAGGATAATAATTTACATGGAAGGATGTATGTGCGAAATAGAAAAATGAAGACAATTTGAGTCATATGACATAACTTTTATAAAAATATGCAATGAGATGATACCAGAATTGCTTTCACTAATATTTTCAATGGCTATCACTATATGCTGAGACTAAGGATGATGCTTAATTTGTGTGCTTTTTAATTTGTATTTTATGAATGTTGGACATAGAACATATATTTTCTATTTTTACCCCATAAGATGAACGTATACTTTTCAAATTGATTTTGAAGTTTATTTATTTATGGTATTTTTCATTTTTAAAATTGGTGCATTGTTATTTTATAAAATAACAGGATTCATTGTGACATATTCATACATACTCATCCATCAATTGGCTTGATTGATTCCCCTGTGCTCCCCCCCCTTTCCCTCCCCTTCTTCCTCTGTCTCTCTTCTATTTTCATGGAAATTCATTTTTTTAAAGGTCTAATGAATTTGGCAACATTTTTCTGTTGTTTCTTGGGTTCTATGCCTTCCCTCCAGGTTCACCTCTCTACCTACCTTCTTCCTAAGTATCTTTAATACCTCTTGTATCTGTGGATAGTAAACCCATCGTCATATCACACTTCATTTCACCCCTGAATAATGGCTTAACTGCTGAGAATTTTAAATTGATTTTTCTTTTAGAACTTTAAATATAGTATCTGATTATATTCTGCTTTCAATTGCTGATGTGAAGCCATTCTCAGTTCAATGTAAAAGCTCTTCTTTTGTTACTTTAACTTTTCTCTCTGGCAGCTTTAAGATCCTGTATGTACTTGGGATAATGAGTGTGGGTGTGGATTAATCATTGTAAATTCTTCTCTATACTCACATGCACTTTTGATATTAGAAATTATATATTCTTTCCATTTGTAAAAATTCTTAACTGAACTTCACATATTGCTTTTTGATATTCCCTGACTTTTCTGTTTCATTTTTTGAAGCCATATATATGTCTTCTAAATTTCTTAATCTTGTTTTTGTTCTTTAAAATAAATCACAATTTCTCTGTCCAGTACTATTCTCGGGTATCATTTGTTTCTTTGTCTCCTGACTATAGAGTTTATTCTATTGACTGAGTTTTAAATTTTTCTGATTATTTTTTATTTTCAAGATTTTGAATCTTTTCCATAATTTTTGTATTTACTCTCTGCCTATTTGATTTTATAATTTCTTTTTTTAGCTGGAAGTTATTTCTTCATTTGTGCATTCTGGCATCCTACAAATATTTATTTTACAGTTTTTACTAGACTCATAAGAATTATTTAGAGTGATTCATATTGCATGAGTTTTTTGCTTTGTTCCATTCTCAATATCATGCGCAGGCTCATTTTGAATGGGAATGTTTTTGGTTTTTTTCTCTCTTCCTTATTTCCACTCTTGTTCTCTTGTGCTCTTCTGCTATGCCCAACCTGCCTGCATCATGAGAGTCCTGTCAGATCCTCTCACATCTAGACCAGAATCTTGGATAATGGATACTGGTAATTCTGTCCTATAATGATATTGAAGGTGTCTACAGGTCCATGCACACAGCTGACAGAGGATTCTTGGTGAAGTTCAGGACCTACTACTTGTCTGCAGTCTGTGGTCTTTCTGGGCTGGAAGCTAAGTCAGAATCTCAGATTGCAGTCTTTCTCTGTATGTTTATCCTCCTGCTTGCCCACCCTCCTCCCTCCTCCTTCCTTCCTTCCTTCCTTCCTTCCTTCCTTCCTTCCTTCCTTCCTCCTTTTCTACCTATCATCTCTGTACCTATATAAAATATTTCACAATCATTCCTTGTCTAGGGGAGATGTTTTTCCTGTTTTGAACTTGGCTTTATGTTTTTAGTTGTCTATTTTTAGAAATTTTCTGTATGACAGCTATGTGTTAGACATTGAGGAGGAGTGTCAAAGTGTGAAGTTACGAAGTCATCTTGACTAGACATCCCACTCATTTTGATATTAAAAAAAATTGTACACCTATATTGAATTGCTGTGATACCCCATAAAGATATACAAATGATATATATGAATAAAGATTTTTAATCTGGTAGAAAATGTGTTTTGTGAAAAATTTGAATGCCATGCTTGAATATTGTGTTGTTTTAAATATTATGCTATAATAGAATTTAATATCATTACATTTTTTAAATCTGAAAAAGACATCAGAATTTTGTACCATAATATTGTTCAATAAAGGGAACAATTTTTTGATTATTAAAAAAACCCCTAAGCTCTTGCCTTTGAAGGGCCATGTAAACAGAAAGTTATCTTTGATCTGTGAGGAGAAGAATGACAAAAAATTAAACAAGCCATTTGGAAGTACCTTTCTGATTTTATAGGCTTAAATTTGAAAGGCCTAATTTCTTTGGCTTTTCCATCTCAGGTTTGTTGTGTGCTAAAGGCGTTTGGGTGCATCTGTCTTACATATTTTTCCAGTGGTATATTTCAAAAACCCACAAGTACAGTGGTTTGTTTCCTTCCAGAGAAAAACAGA